CAGTTGTCTTCGGAGCTGGAGGTCGTCAAAACTCTTTTCTCTTTTCTCTTACTGGGTTGAATAGTGTCTATTTTCTAACAACCTTCCAACTATGTGTGGCTAGGATTAGAGAACTAAGAAAAAGCGAAAACTTGAATGAAGAAAAGTTGAATCAGAAAATAACACCTCGGCAAGGGATGGAAGGGAAGAATGAAATCGAGGGATATTGAATCGTCTTTGCGAGCAGAGGGTTTATATTTGAGAGCACGAGCAGTGATCGAACTTTAGAAAATACAGATGGCGAGCGACGAGCACTTTGTAAATTTTCCGCTTGCCGGGATCTCTATTTTATGAAAAGGAAACATTGTTTTTCGCTAGGAGGTTAAACCAATCCCAGCAGCTTACAGCCAATTAGACCTTGTTTGATGTCAAATTACGTCACGTAGCTTCACGTGTGTCAGTGGCTGGACGCTCAGTCAGATGGTGGACGCTCTGCTCCACCAAGAGGAGAGACCCTGGGAATGAGGTTGATTACAAACTGGCGCTTACAATAACAGCAGCTACGTACATGTAGATATAGTACTGTGAACTGGGCTGCATCTATGACGGGTCGAACCTGGTGGGATCCCACGTTCCCATTTCGGCGAATCGAACGAGATCTTCAGCTCTTAGTTTCTATTACGTTCAAATCGGCCAGAAAAGAGAAACAACTATCACTCTTATCACATGTCACTGGTATTTTAACACTGCTGTGGTAATTAGGAAAACTGTAAATCGAGAAACAAATATTACAAATAAAACAGAAAACATGTTAAAACACAACTAGTGGGAGGCTGACCAGTTGGCTATTTACAAGCCCGAATAGCTCTCGCTCCACTTTTCCCGCGGCCCAAATGCGAAAAGCCCCTCGCGCTGCCCGATTTCGTTCGGCTCGTACGGAAACAATTGCTTCAGAGGCTAAAAACGTGGAGGAAGTTGAATTTACGACCCCTGAACTCAAATCCACTTTCTAGCAAGGTAAGGATTCGGACACAGGACCCGAAATCAAAAACCAGGACCTAGCCACTAGGCCACACCGCCGCCGAGGCCACACCGCTTCCTAAACCACGCCGCTTCCTGGACCAGACCAGGCCACGCCGCCCCCTAGGCCACGCCGCCTACTAAAAGTTGAAAGGGCGACAGCGACAGTTGAAAAGGTTTGACCTAATACTAAATTCTCCCCATATTCCAAGGTGACTATACATATATACGACAACAGACGCCTCTTGACGATAACTAGTAAGGAGAACTTTCAGCTTGGTCATAGAGCTCAAGAATGTGAAAGAGTTAAAAACTAAAGCTTTTATTCTACGCCATAATTATCATAGTAGTTTTTGTTACAGTTTTGCCATAATTATTATAATAGTTTTTGAAATAGTTTTTAACCCAGTCATAGATTTTAATAATTCCATCTTTTAGTTAGGTTTTTATTCTTTTTAATCATATGCAATTGTAAGCGCATTGAGAATTCTAAATGCGCAATAAGAACCTTTTTATTATTATCATTATCATTATCATTGTCATTGTCATTGTCATTGTCATTGTCATTGTCATTGTCATTATCATTATCATTATATTATGAATTGTGCCACATCATACTCCTTATTCCAAAATGGCGGCCAATTTATTATTCTTTTGTTTGCATGTTAATTANATTTTGACAGTGGTCTTATATAAATTTTATTTTGTTTTTATACACGGCTTCCTTGTAAAGCAGGTTTTTATCATTTCTCTTATTCTAGTAGTTATTCACAATATTAAATTAGTTAGGTAGTTAGATTTATTTAAATTAAATATTGTATAGTCCTGAAGGAAATACCGTGTCTAAATAAAGATTTTACCTTTACCTTACCTAATTGTTATTGTCATTAGTTATTATTTTTTTAATTAATAACAATTCTTTATCGAGCTTATTTAAATTCTTCATCAAAACTTAACGTGATAATTATTTACGGCACAAAACTATTTACAATAACAATTCTAATAAAGTCGTTAAAAAAGGAAGCAAAATTTAGTGTAAAGAAATGAATGAAATTGAGAAGAGCTAAAAATTGCAATAGCTTGTTTGAAATGTCACAGAAACGTAACAAAAGCATTTGCGGTTTGTGTCATTGATTGTACGCGAGAAGTAATCAAAAACTAAGAAAATTACTCTCACTTTACAATACACATAATTTCTACTAATTATGGAATCTTACTTGTCTTTCCTTTAACTGTAATACTACCAATAGTAAAAATAGAAAATTGATAGAATATACAATGTAAAATAGATATATATGTATATATTATTACTGTTCCCTTTATTATTATTATTATTATTATCATTATCATTATTATTATCATTATCATTATCACCATCACCATCACTATCACTATCATTATTATTATTATTATTACTATCGTTATCATTATCATTGTTGTCATCATTATTATTAAATGCCCCTCTGGCTTGGGACTCAGCAGTGGCTCAAATGTCCCACATGATAAAGAAGCTCTGGCACACTGATTGAGTTTAAGATTTTTCTTCTGGCCTAAAACTGATAACTGACTGTTATTTTTAGCTATAGCAAGCTGGCTTTCATGTTTCCAGGGTTGCCACAGGTCAGGGAAAAAATTCTTCAAGGTCAGGGAAAAGTCAGGGAATTTTGAGTCAGGGAAAATTGATATTTTGAAGAAAAGTCAGGGAAAATTGAAATAATTTAACACGCCTGATATACCACTGAAGGCGGGAAGAAACATTTTGGGTCACTGTGATCTCAAAGATATTTTTCCTCAATGAAGAAGGAAAATTTGTGGAAAACTTACAAGTCTAACGAACAAGTAGAAAAGAAGGATGTAAGTTGAGGCCAAAAGCTGCTACAAGATCTGATGTTTTTATTGGTCAGGGAGATCTTATTTTTATCAGGGAAGTCATGGAAAAGTCAGGGAAAAGTCAGAGAATTTTGAAAAGTGATGCCTGTGGCAACAACAGTTAGGATTTCATGTAAAAAGCGAAGTAGCAAGTTCCTCTATATCCAGATAGCTATGCAGCTTCACCCAAGGTAAAGCCCGTGTAACATGATTGATGAGAATAATTATTTATTACAATGGAACCCTATTAATACAGTCACAAATGGTCCAACAAAATTTTGGTCCATGAAAATCTTAACAAATATAGCATGATTGCACTTCTAAACAACTACTCTTTAATACCATCTGGAATGCAGATATAATTTTTAAAAAACTGAAACTTGAATCAGTGTATAACATATTAACAATAGAAAGATGACCATAACTGGTTTGAGTGGCTATATATATGGGGTTAAATTATAAAGGATTATACAGGTTTGGCCGTTGACCATGTTAACAGGGTAGTCACATTAACAGAACTTCCTTATAAGAAAATGTGTAGGCCTTTCGCCAGGACAAAATAAAGTGGCCATAATAACAAGGTGACCATATTAGCGTGGTGACTGTTAGGCGGGGTTCCACTGTATATACAAATGCAGTACAATGCACAACAGGACTTGTTGTATATGGGCAGAGCTGAACTGGACTAAATTTGACTTCACTGATACATTAAATTACAAAGAGAGGTAAAATGTCGAACAAAGGCATGATGTGACTACTTATGTTTTGGAAATCTACTGTTGTAGAACTATGCATCAAGGTGTCCCAAAATATTGAACTGTTGCAATCAGCCATTTGTAGAGACCAGACAGTTAAGTTCAAATTTCTCAACATCTGCATCTCTTGAGACAGAGTTCTCTTAGAAAGAGGGGGGTCCTCCTGTAAACATACTTTCCTCTCCGACCATGCATTTGTCGTTTAAACTTCAATGTTGTGAGAGCAGGGGCATAGTTAACTAAAGTTAAGTGACCATTCATGTTGATCTTTAGCTGGCTGAAGATGGTTTCCAGAGCACTGCCATTTAAGTGTAGAGGCCAAATGTAGTATCCTGGAAACTTTTGAAGGAAGGACTGACAGAATTCTGTAAACCCATGGTACATCAGTCTAGTAAGATGTCTGAAAGGCATATAATTTTGATGAGTTACATTAAGATAATAGATGATTATAATAATTGCGGTCTTTAATTATTGAATGGAGATGCTATATCAGTCACTAAAAAACAAAATCTACATCGTGTGTGCTAGCAATAAAAACATATCAATAACCATGATCACAGCTCTACATAATCCTTGGTTACACACATACTTATGACAAGTGTTAAATCTCTATTAATGATCATCAGAGAAAAATTGACTTGTTGACAACAACTGTAAGAAATACATGTATAACAAAGTGAGGAGAATTTGCATGTCGAAAATGGGGCTTTGGGTGACTCCCTAGACTATTTACGGACACCCTTTCTATAGAGCAAGATGAGCTAGAGTAAAGTTGTTGAAGTATATTAGCTGCTCGAGCAGCTACAATATCAACTGACTCGTAAGTTTGTTACATGTAGCTTATTTCAATGTCAACATGTTGGCAGTGACATGATAAGACAAGTGTGATAATGATAAGACTAGATGTATATTTCTTTGAGAACTGACTGCGATGTTACTGCTCGGTTGCTTCACTGTTGGGTTTGCATTTAGGCTTTAAGCTTCTGTAAGTGTTCATAAGGCTTCGGCTAAACAGCAATCAAACAACTTCAACCTTTCACAAGTAACCTGCACGCAGGCTCATGCTAGAGCACAAGCGCGCGAGGCGTAGCTGTGTGGGCGAAATCAAGCGGCACGAGAAAGTGAGCCTACTCTGATCTCTGCAAATATTTCATTTCCACCCCGGAAACTGAAGAAAAAATAAGCCAACTAATTTTCACCAGAAGTATGAACTTTGGCAGCTCAGATCTCTGGGATTTCATAACAACATGCAGTCATGATATACATTGTTGATAAAGTTTTGCCGAAGAAAAACTGTCAATGTTTATGTCTAGCAAGGACACACACTTGATTCCAAGTGATCTTGCTTTGGCGGTCTGGTCTTTGATGATGCTGGTAAACAGGCAAACGCCTTCATGTTGTTTCGTTGCCCACTTGCAATCACATAAGTTTGTAATATTTAACTCTTCCCATATGCAGTCGGCAACACAACAAGTACATCTTGATTCTTTAACATACTCTCAACTCCTACTTCCTGCTCCCTCTTTAGTTAGAAATTTAACTAGAAGTAGACTGGAACTTTGTAAAACATCAGTAATGTGGGCACTCAACTCTTCCTCTGACTACAAATGTGGACGACTTATTTTTTATTGTGAGAACATGCAATAAATTACAGACTCCATGGGGATCTTATCGCTCCTCATCAAACATAATGGATTGACAGTTTTCTCGCCTTTCCCGCTTTTCGACCAATGGTATTGCACTTCGCTCAGGCGAAGCAGAAATGAAAAAAAAAAACAGAGATCAAGGCAGGCTCACTTTCTTGGCGCCTCTTCACCAGACTCCTTCCTGCCGGATCGCTTTGCTCTTCGCCGCTCGCGCGCGACTCAAAAATGAGCCTGCCAGCAGGCTATTTCACGAGCTGTGTGAAAGTAGAACGAATTTCAGTTTAATGTTATTAGATCGTTAGTAATTTGGTGGCGAGCAGACTTCGCTTGGTGGCGAAGTGACTGGCGGCCGCTGGTTGATAAGAATTATCGACTGATTACTCCAGAAAATTTTACGACTAGCACATGAAAGGTGCCTTTGTTTTGACTAAAAATTAAACTAAGATCGTCATACTCACCTCTGGCGGCACTTTTGTAAACTTTCGTGATGCTGTCAATGTCCCCCAAACCACATTTCTCTTTCAAACGAAGCAAACGAGGGTCAATCGAAGTGGCGGTTGATATTTACCGCATTTGATACACGCAAGTTTTCTTGTTTTCCTCGCCATATCTTTGCGAAGAAACTTCGACGTCAAGTTCAAAGTGCTCATTTTCCAAAGTACAAAACTGCGATATTTACGTTTTGATGCCTACATAACAAAATATTTTCTCCTCCTCATATCACGTTCGAGCCGAAATTCGATTTATCTTGTCATGGCATCTCGCACATGCGCAGCTCTGTCGTGTCCTGTCTGGTCCACTAGTCCCAGTATTACTCCGCTGCACATGTTATTTCTGCGCGCCTGGGACTTAATCGCTCTTGATGGATTTATGATGGCGGCATGTTTTGAAAGGATTTTAGCTTCTCGGCGTTCTAATTTTCTTTTAGCTGCTCGATACTTTGCCAGTAACCCTTCAGCATTGTTTAAAGTTGGAAATGAGGTAGAAGTTCGTCGGGTTGTTTCTATGAAAGATGTACAGGCATTCGCTCACATGTCAGGAGATACCAACCCCATTCACTACGATGACAAATTTGCGAGGAAAACCCGCGTCGGACAGATTATTGTGCACGGTGTAATACTGAATGGGTATTGTTTTTTTATATGGCCTTAATAATCTTAGAATGTTTGTTTTATTTCGATGGCAACTTGTAGACGGGGCTTTGGGGCTTTGAAAGTCATTGTACTATCCCAAATATTTCTGTGAGAGTTCTGAAGAAAAGTGTTTTTATTTCGAGAGATAAAGAAAATTTTTTTCTTTTCGGAGAGGGATATTTTTTGAAACTTAGATCATTTTTTCCTCAGGTGGGTAAATTTTGAATGAATGAAATGAAAACAATCTTTAAAGAGGAAGCGCCCGTCACGTAAATACGTGGTTTTCAGGGAGGTCCTCTATAAAATAAAAAGTATTAAAATCTAAAATAAGAAATACAAGTATCACAGATCTAAAATATAAAAATATACAATAATTAAAACTACTAAAACTACCAAAACTACCTACTGTCATTTTTTCTAAAAATGTTTATCCATTAAGAACCTTATAAGGTTTTTCTTAAATTTTGAGTGGCTTCTTTCACATGCATGTATAGTCTCCTTTGCAGCCGTTATCAGAGTTGTCACGCAACACTTCTCCCCCACTTACTAATGCATGTATGGGTGTTAGGTGGAGTTACGTGTAGTTAGGGGAGGGTGAACATAAAACAGAATGGCCCTGTTCCCCCCAGAATCAAAGTGGGAAAAACCAGGCCATGTGTATTATCATAACAGCAATTTTTTTTCCATATAGGATGTTCATTTTTATCTGCCATGCATGGCCACAAAATACATGAGCAGCTATAGTTCTCCATATTTCCGATGTTTGATTTTCTTCTTGTGCCAAACTTACGAAAGAACCAGATGCTGATCATAGGCTTTCCCTAAGAGTAGAAAGTGTGAAAACAGGCAAATTTCATCTTTACTTGCTCATGAATGAAGTGTATGTATGTACACTAAACAACTATTCCTTCACCAAAGTCTAATCACAATTTATAATATTTTTGGGTTGGGTAAATATCTTAATCAATACTTCTCCCCTGTTGCATTGCTCAAGATTACATTTTACTGATAGGCAAAGGTAAGGTGTGCTTTCCTCTGATAACTGTTGTCTGTTTTTATTTTAGGATAATTTCAGCTATCCATGGCGCTAAACTTCCAGGTCCTGGTTGTATGATTCTGTCTCAATCATTGAAATATCCTGCCCCATGTAAGTACTCTATATGAGGTGTCAGATGTAGGGAAATGAAAAAAAAAATAATAATAAGTTCCAAAGGGAAAAGGGGCACCAAAGTGCACCATCACTGTAGGTTCTCTTTCTCCCCCTTTATATAAGAATGGTTGAACCTCACTATTTTGAAGCAGATCTCTTGAACGCCCAGCTATCTGGAGCTCAAATCATTTTCTGTTGGATATGCTTTTTCAGTCATTTGCTATCAGCTATATTGAACCCTGCTATCTCAAACTATTGTTCATTTCCTTTGAGATAACAGGCTTCAGCTGTACCTTGGGGCTCTCATCTTCTCTTTGGGTATCCCATTTGAACAGCTGTAGATCCACCTCTGGTTTGTAAAGATTGTGAAAAGATTGTAAAATCAGATCGGTAACTGAGAGATGATCTTAGCAACCCTGGTATGGCTTCCATTTGTTTAGAAGGAATGCAACCTTTGGAAACAAGATTGCGTAAGGGCTTTCACTTGCCCAGTATTTCCACAGAGAGGGGGACATGGGGCTTTGCAGTGTTACGTTGTTGACTGCTTTTCTAATGCAGTGATACGGTAAATAAAATCCCGCCTTGCAGTGTTGCGGTGATCTCAAACCCTACGGTTTGCAATGTTTGTGTTTTTCATGCTACGGTGTTCAGTGAAACGAAACTATTTGCAATGCTGTGTTTTCTTGTTTGATCTCTCTCTGACCTAAATTTTGTATGAAAACTTTGTTAATCCATGCTAATTTTATGGTTGTATATTTTACAAACCAACAAATACAGACCAACACTGGCTAGTTAATCTCCGATATGCTTCAGCTGCCAATCTGAAGCTGTTTTCAACCTTTACAGGCATCAGCAGTATCGACACATAGGCAGTGAGAAGTGTTGTGGCGTGTTTATTTTGTGGAAAATTGTTCAGGTGTAAAAGTATTATAACAAGTGTAGACGTTCAAATCATGGGCTAAATCATATGTTACAGTGAAGGTGTTTCATCGACTTTTCTTGCAGTGATGTGGTGGTCGTTCATTTTTTTTTTTTTTTTGCAGTGTTGCAGTTCTCAGAGCACCCCTATGTTCCCCTCAAAAGACCGTACTCAATTGCAGTGCTCAACTTGCAAACATGCCCTATTTAAATGCTATTTTGGAATGAAATGTAAAACTCTGTACAGCCTTTGTCACACCAATATAGCTTAAAAACAAATCCCCTTAGCACTGCAGATACCTGTGACTACCAAGAAGAACAAACCCCACCCACCCCACCTTAGGAGATTACCAAGGTTGTATTGTATTGTATTGTATTGCATTGCATTGCATTGCACTGCATTGCATTGTATTGCATTGCATTGTATTCGATGCATTGTATACCCAATACTTCGAGAATATTGTTAACACTATGTGTCACCTGGAATGGGTAATTTTGGCTGATTTTTATTTTACAGTGTTTCCTGGAGAAGAAGTTTTGACTCATGTCCAGGTAACAGGATTAAGACATTCTATTATGATTTGTCAAGTCACTTGCACAGCAGTTCAGAGAGGCAAAGTAAGTTTTCTTTGTTAAATTTATGAAGTAAAGTGATTCAGACTCTGAACATTGCAAACTATGTTGACTGAAATGAAAATCAACAAGTTAAACTTGCTAGCCACAGTACACTTTTTTTTGGTGAACGAGATGTAGTGACAGCGTTTGCTTGTGTTTTGCAGCTTGCTAAAAGGTAGATATAAGGTTTTCATAAACAGTAATATTTAGTTCACGCAAAGAAGGTATAACCATTGAGTGACAAATTGTATGGAGGAATGCTAAATAGTACTTAAAGGCTGTCTGAAAACTGAAGCAAAGCAAAAGCTTGAAGAAGATTAAGACTTGGGAGTCATAGATCAACTAAAAAAAACAAAAAAGTCATAAAACAACTTCTGCTTTGGTGTAAAAAGGATATTTTCATTAACTACTTTTCGCTCCAAAATAGTTACGAAATTCACGGTGCGACACTCTCAGAGGATATGCATCACAACTTCCGAAGAAATAATCCAATAAAACCAGCCCCCATTTTTCCCTAGATTCGTCACTAGCCAATAAATTTCTATTGATATATATCCTTGAAGGATTGGACTATCACACAATAAATATAAGATGAAGACCATCACACCATAATTCTCTCCGCTAAGCGGATGGGAACGTTTCCTGACAACACCTAGTTAGTGTTTCTCATCGTGTTAAGAGTATTGACTACTTCCTACCTGGAGAAAAAAGCCTCGGTAACTGAACTAAATCGAGCACAATGCAATGGATTGCGTTCGACTGTGTTCGATGAATAAATTTTCTTGAACAAAGGTCATGTTATGTGGTCTGGTAAACATACATACAAAGCAAACCCATCCTAAACAAGTTTTTCTCTTCCTTTTTTACAGACTATTCAATAACAAAAATAAACTGTCCAGGGCAGTGACAAGAGTGGTATATAAGCTATTTATGTAAGCTATTTATGTACTCGCGGTATATTCCGGCGGCATCCCGCACAAAGGTCTTCACTTAGCAAGTAATCGAAGCATTTACAGGCCACAGGGATACAATCAGTTCACGTTGAACAGTTTGAATTGTCCGCGTTCATTTACAACTCACTCGAAAAAGCACGGCCTTTCTCGCCTATTTTCTTTAAAACTTTGAAATCTTCACCCTCCTTCACTTCAAAGTGGCACTCTTGGCGGTCTTTAACTACGCACCCAAAGCTAACAACGCAGAACGCATCTGAAACCATTTCTCCGAGATGTGTGCCGTTACGAAAAACACGTGTTATATCGAAGCAACTGAGCCTCCAAACACTTGTTGTATTGATTTTCAACTCCAGTTTTACAGAAGTCAAGAGTTCGGAAAACGAGCGTTCGAGTGAGTTCGATTGTCCAATTTTTTTGTATGTGAGTTTGATTTCGTTCGATTGCCAAACTCAATCGGAGTCAATCCATGGACTGAGTCAACTTCAATCAATCAATCAATAAACTTTATTTAAGTGTATAAAAAAACTTCTAGTCAGTCCGGAGGCCGACTAATCCGGAACACTCCCAATAAAATTACTAATAGATTAAGTTAAATTAACTTAAGTTAAAAGTTACCTATCACTTTTTACGTTTTATGTTCATATCTACAATGCCATTAATATTATAAAATATAGACTAAAATATAATAGTTTCTACCTATACGACTATATACAAACTTTAAATATGTCTAAAATTCTAATAGCATTTTAAACACACTTGGCACAATTTCCTGTACAGACATAATTTGAAACTAGGTTCGCGAGGTCTTTTCTGTGGATGTTCGAGACAAATGATGTTAGACTTGGCATTGTGTGTCGCTATGTCCAAGTTTTGAACACAAATATGGTCCTAGATATCTTAGGGAATGTTTGCCATAGTGGACAGAATAGAATCTGGAGATATGGAAATCTGAGTTCTTGAGGCTGTACCCAGATGGAGTGCCACTGACTAAATCTAATCTGTTCGAAGGCAGCAGTCTGTGCTTGACTTTTTACATAAAAATGGCGATATCTTGCAATCGCATGATGTACAGAGAGAACAAGTTGGCGCGTTTCAGTAAGTCTTTGTACGCGAGATTCCAGTCACAGAAAACCGCCCCAAGTCCCCTTTCATTTACTCTTTCTAGTTTCTTTTTGTCCGTTGCTTTACAAAAGTGCCAGACAAGGTTACAATAGGCCAGATGTGGTAATGTCGCTTTTTTATAAATTTGCTGTTTTGCCTCAGTAGGAATGGATTTTCTAAGTCTCCTTAGAACGCCTATTAATTTGCTTAATTTTTTTTACCAATTATGGAAATGTGTTTAGAGAAGTGCAGCTCTTTGTCGATAGTGACTCCCAGTAATTTAAATTCTTCAGTAGTGTTGATAGAGTGGCCATTAATGTCGACAGATGCTAGGGATGGCTCGTGTTTCTTGCCGATTACCATGACTTGGTATTTGCTGTGTCCCTGTGCCCTGTAAATGCTTCGATTGAAATTCAGTTGGATTGGGTTGGATTGACCATGCCGGTTTAGACCGGGAGGGAGCTTTTGAGACCCTTACCATGTAATTCACGGAACATTAACGATGTGACAACAAAAGGGTTTATAACAGTTTCAAAAGTATTCCCTTTGAAGTCATATAACGTAGAAATGGCATCGTTAAACAGCCGCCATCTTGGACTAGTTAACTTGAATTTCGCGCGTTACTTGTACAACACCTCAGTATTCCACCAAAACTGACACAAAAACAGTCAAAGCCGATAAAGAAACTTGCATTTATCTATTAAACTACAAGTTACCGTTTCATTAAAACTCGGAAATTGGAACATGCCTGTCAAGAGACAGTTTCTAGTGGGGGGGGGGCGCACCAATTTCCTTGAACAATGAGTTGTCATACCATATTGTTCCCAGATAAATTTTAGGTGGGGATCTCAAAACACCCCTCCCCTCTCTGGTCTGATTAGGTTTATTAAAGCTATTTCTTTGATGAACATTTTGTAGGTTGTTCTATCTGGCGAAACAAAGCTCTTAGTTCCTCAGAATCTGGATGAATAAGGCCGTTGTTTTTTATGTAAGTGAAATTTAGTGCCTCATTCTTGCTGTATCAATTTTTTTTCCATCTGCCGTGGTGGCCATGTCGTGCATGGTGGCCATGCACTACATGGTGACCATGCTGGGGTTCCAAACAATCACACTCTCTCTTTCGGGATCACGGTTGGAACACGTTATATAATTACACATTATATAATCACGATATAATTATATAATTACACATTATATAATCACGACATAATTATATAATTACACATTATATAATCACGATATAATTATATAATTATACATTGCATAATGACAGTATAACTACACTTACCATGTACTATCGAACCTATATATAACGGCCCTGTATTAAGCGGCCAGTTTTCAAAGTCCCGAGTTTTCGCTCAAACAAACGCTGTATTTGTTACCTGTATTAGGTGGCCACCTTTATTAAGCGGCCGCGGCGACCCTGTAGCAGTCCTATGTTTGTCTTTCTTTGTTATTTTTACTTAACAACTATGAAATTGAACGTAAAAACTGTGAAATTGAACGTAACAACTGTGAAATGACGCAATGAGATATTTTGTTGTGAACTGTAAGTCACAGAAATACAGTACTGTATACCGTAGAAGAGTAGAGGATAATTTATTGCACAGTACTTTTACACAATGTTACGTACATTATACCGTTAAGTTACAAGTTGGCACTGAACCTTGTTTAAAGTATTGATCGCTTGAAAGAGTGTTGATTATCCTATTGTTTCCTTGCATGAAGTGTTCTTGTAGATACGCCATTTAAATTGACATTAGACCACACCCGCTGAGTATTTTTAGTGATCCTGTATTAAGCGTCCACCTGTATTAAGCGGCCAGTTCCTCAAGTCCCGAGGGTGGCCGTTATTTACAGATTCGACTTTAGTTGCATAATAGTTATACACAACAAGCAATGAAATTGTATCAGCTTACTACTTACTGTTTATTTTTAGTATAGTACCGACTTGTTATTTCTACTTTAGGGCCGTTTTTTTTCTACTTTATAGACAGCAATTTGCATTTGCAACAATTGAAAATTTCTACAAACGAGTTCAGCAGGTCCTGTGAAAGGACAAGGAATAGCACTGATCAAAGTTTTCAGCTGGCTTTATCAGTCACATGCGCGCTAACGGTACAAAACCATCTCTCCACTGAATTAATACTTGTTGCTGTGTGATTTTTGTCCAGGTTGAGCACTGATTCAGACAGAAAACAACTACACAGTCGGATGTCGTCAAGGGTTATCATCGCTTCCAAAAAGAGTCTCCTCCGCGACTCCCGGTGAGAGAGAGCAGAAACAGGAAACAGGAATCCTTATTCACGGAGCCTGCTGCATTGGTCAGACGTTGTTCGTGAATTTAAGATGGCGTCACAAGTCTCGAAATACTCGCAAACTTTCGCGCTGTTTTCTGGTTTAACACAATAGGAAGAATACGTGTGCCTTAGTGCCAGCCGTTTTCCTACGACATGGGAAAACGGAATTCAAACTTCCAGTTTCGTTTTTCGTTTACCCACGTCATCGGAAAAGGGAATTCGAACTTTTATTTTCGTTTTTCGTTTTTCAACTACATTGAAAACGAAATTTCCGTTTTTCATCTTCTATTTCCGTAAGACATTGAAAACGGAATTTAAACTTCGATTTTCGTTTTTCGTTTTCGTGTTCTGTTATGTTATCTCAAGACAGTGGCCTATTAAGCAGGCGCTAGCGTTCTTTGGGCTTGGACGTCATAGCCAACTGTATGTAACTGAGTGTACATACATACGGAGTTGTGATAACAACAAATAGCGTAAAAAAAACTGTGCAGCTACATTTATAGAAAACTAATATTTAAGAATTTTTCAGCCCGCTACAAACCGTATTGAGCTGACTGTTATTAAGAGCCTTCTGTTTAATATGACTACCACGATGTCGATATCGGCAAGGAAATGAAATTATGCGTGTACGATCACAAGTCACGGAATTAAATGGCTATTCAGGTCCGACTATTAAGTCAAAAAGTTTCAATACAAAGGCTTGTCATGATCGATTTGGAACATACAGTTGAACCTCCGATATGGCGCCTTCTACTTCGATATCGACCGGTCAGTGTAAAACGAAGACTGCGGACTGACCGGGAATAAAATGCAGACTGAGGGTAAAACGCAAACTGCAGACTACAGACTTTTTAAGAATATATCGACAGTGTTATTTCCATTATTGATTTCTAACCGGAAACAGGGTTATTCAGGCTAATAGTAGTGAAAGTTTCCAATGCTCCGGTTAGCCTGAATATCACTCAGGTTAGCCTAAATAACGCTCCGGTTTGCCTGTTAACGGTTAGCTCTCAATGATGGAAACTACTCAGTTAAAAAGTCTGCAGTCTGCATTTTGACCTTCCGTCTCCATTTTACCCCAGTCCGCAGTTGCAGTCCGCAATCTGTAGTCTGCAGTCCGCAGTCCTTATTTTACACTGACCGGATATCGACTGTTCCATCTGCAACTGACTCTCTCTTTTTGATACCATGGAAACTGTAAAACCCTTTTACACTTAGCAAACTACTGTGCAGCCCTTGATTCGGGTATCGGTTCTTGATTACCTTGAGAAGGTCTTCACAACTATTATTTTCCTCAGTAAGAAAACGGCGGACAAAGACTTCATCAAGGATGTAGTTTCCAGGTCCATTTTTAGCGACAGGAAGAGCCAACATTCTTCTGGTTCACGTATACAAAAGTGACAAAAAACACATAAACGAAAAACGACAATCGATGTTCAAATTCCGTTTTACAATATCTTAAAAAACGAAAGACGAAAAAAGGAAATAACAATTAGAATTCTGTTGTCCAAAGTTGTGGTAAAACGAAAAACGAAAACAGAAGTTGGAATCCATTTTCAATGTAGTAGGAAAACGGAAAACGAAAATGGAATCTCGAATTCCTTTTTCCGATCTCGTGGGTAAAACGAAAAACGAAACTGGAATTTCGAATTCCGTTTCCCCTGTCTTAGGAAAACGGTTGGCACTAAGGTACACGCATAAGGAAGATTCAGCAAACCACAACGGCAACTGCAACGAGAAAGTTACTAAGCAAATGGTTAATAAGCAGAGCAAGAAGTTGTTGATCCCGGGTGTTGATCACTTCACCCTTCGTAGAACATACGCTATAACACACGCTGTAACACGTGATTTCAATAGCCCACTACATAACCGCCTGACCAAAGTTGTGTTCCGTGTCACTTAACATTTATTCCCTGTTTGTTTATTTTGGTTTGACTTAGTTGAATGAGCTTTTCATTTAAATTCTCTTACATTGTTTTTAAAAAGCGAAAGCAGCCATTATTTTATTTGTTAACTTTAAGAAAAAATGTTCCATGATTTTCATGTTCCATACGCTTTTACCTTCGTGACTAAATGTTTATTCAATCGGCGCCTTTGCCGTGGCTGCAAAGCCGATTGAGCGCTTCCTTCTTGCTGTAAAGTTTCTAAAATTAAACGAACTTATATTGTCCATGTTTGAAATTCTGGCATAACTCTCCGCTCTTGGTGGTGAAAATAGATTAAGCGAGGTTAAGAATAGCTTGGATCAGTCTTCTGTCGTGAGCTGGCAATGTCAAATCTTGCTGGGACCAGATGTTTTATGCCGAGTATTATCATCTTAAAGTGCGTGTTCCCGGATTTACCCCCGGGCAATTTACCATTTTAGCTGAAACGCAAGACTAAGAACTCTACTGGAGGAAACAAGTATCTTTTCGTGTATAATCAACTTGACTTGTTTGAAATCTCTTTGCTTTGTTACGCTGAGTTCCCACGGTTATTAAAAGAGCGATAAGTGAAAGAAGTATATGAATTTGTTCCGTGGTATTTTTGTAACTAAGAGCTGTTATAGTTTGGTAGTCTCATATTCTGTGGAATGCGTCTTTTCGCGCGGTCTAAAATCTCGTTAAATTTTTTCCGCTGAGTCCTGTAAACTCTGAAAGAGAATATCAGTAATGGCGCCAAAACATTGGCTCGCTCGCAAGTTCCTTTTGCACGTATTTGCATGGCAATGTGTATGGCCTTATGTCCCAGTCGGGACAACGAGGATGAATAAGTGAGAGAGTCAGCACATGGCAATGTAATCTACTGCTTGAGAAACGAGAAATGCACTACTTTGCTTTCATGTCTTGATTGTCTAGTNAACAACAACAACAACAACAACAAGAAGCTTTATTACCAAATAGAAAAAAAAGTTAAACTTTACAATATAATATATTGATACAAAAAAGAGGTAATGTTTACTTAGGATAACTATAAAGCTAATCAAGCTGAGTAAAACTAAGTAATGTTTAAGTACAGAAGATAGGTTGGCACTAAAGCTTGATGGAAGCAATTAATTAGTCAATAAAAAAGAGACGAAAAGAAGAAATAAATAAATAGATAGATAAATAAAAATAAAATATAAACAACAGAGCAAAAAGATGACAGGATAGTAGCAGGGAGAAACTTAATTTCCATTCAAGGGTCACTCTCCTTTCATTCGAATTTATAAACTAAAAACCTAAGAATATATTACGAAATAACATGGTTTGCTGAAACAAATTTACAAAATAAAATTGAGAAAATACAAGAAGACTAGTGCTACTTCGATCGAGTGCAGGTAACTTAATTAAAGGAGGTAATGCCTGAATACACATTGCATAAGAAGGGGAGAGAATTGCCCTCAGTTAACCACTTGGATCTGAATAGCTGTTTTCTGATTCATAGAAACTTTCTGTTTACTTTGCCATCTAATTTTAATGAGCTCTTTGACGATTAGTAAAGATATTGGCACGCCATTGAGTCGCCTTGTCCCGTAATCGAAGGCCTGGGGTTACAAAAGTACTTAACTAAATTACCGTTTCTGCGATAACTTGGATATACGTCCTGCCCACAGATTGATAACCACTCTGATAACATGAAAATTAAATGCTCAGGTATTAAAAGGAATTGAAATGTAACAGACACGAAAAGAAGAGGCGTAGGAATAATAATGAAAGCTAAGGTCGGTGCCATGTTTCCCTTTTTTTTTTTCGAGTTTCTGTACTTCATGTTGTGATAGTTTTCTTCTGTGTAATGCATCCTAAAAGCTCTAGCGATATAATGTCATGATTCTGAAATTAGCGTTAGTTTCTTTGTGTTAGTGGTGTGTGTGCGTTATTATTTTAGTATTAACGTTATAGTAGTGTGCCTGTTAATTATTTTTTGGTTTGTTCTTTGAAAGGTTCAAAAATATTATTGTAAGCAGTGTACCAATTTTGTATTGTATTAACATTCATTTTGTAAGTAGGTAGGGTAAATGACAATGTTGTAAGTAATGATAGAAATCAAATTGTCCTTAAGTTTGTAGTAGTTTTTATTGTAAGTAGTTTCAGCAATGTTTTGTTTTGTGTAATAAATAAATAAATAAATAAATAAACAAACAAACAAATAAATAAATAAAAACTAATCATTTTAGAAAAACACGAGGTTGGTGGGCCTATACCGGAAATAAGATGGTACTGCTGTTCTATGGCTTAGCTGTCATCATAATACACCCTTGAAGCTGTTCAACACTTACGATAATTGCAGTTGGATCCCATTTTCTCAGTCGAACCTCGAATTTTCAAACCTCCCGATAACTCGAACCAAAATTCGATTCCTTCCTCTCAATCGTGCACTGAATTTTATCCCCGACTTCTCTAACTACCCGATTTTTCGAGCTAATTTTCGTTTCCCTAGCTTTTCCCTTGGAGGTTCGAAAAATCGAGATTTCACAGTATTGAATATGTTTTGACAAAGTTGAGCGACCTTTTTACAACAGCAACAGCTGAAAACATGAGCTAATATGCATTGTCAAGCTGTAGAGAATACTATCAAAGATTAAATGTGGCTCTGAACAATGTGAAAGGACTTAAATTTAGATCATTACCGATCAGGATTTTCCCATGACGTACGTGAAGGTTTTATTTTTACGGTGAAAATTTTGTTTTCACATCTTTACATTGGTTTCGCTCTCATACATCCGTTTATTCATTTACAGTCTTTATACGTGCTTATTCTTTCACTTTTTCATTCATTCTTTCATTCCAATTCTCCAAATCATTCTTTCGCTCAATCATTTGTTCGTTCTCTCCTTTTTCGTTCATTTACTTATTTTTCCATAGCCATTCATCCGTTGATTTATTCTGTTTTCGTTCACTTGTTCATTCCTTCATTCACTTGCTCGTTTTTGTTCTACTGTTTTTATATCTAATCGTACCTCTTTGGTACACTTCCGTGGCATATCACTGAGGCTCGTTTGTTCTCGCCATGGTTCTCATTTTTGCGAGACGTAGTCGAGCCAAAATATCCATTGCGAGACCAAACGAGCCAGACATGATATTTACCGTACCCAAATTCGGCCAAGTGAGCACGATATCGTAGCCATATCATTCGCGGATATTAGGATAGTAGACACGGCTTCTGATTGGCTAATAATTGCGAGTTTGGGTCCGGTAATGCGTCATCACCCATACTTACTTGACCTATTGTAACCTTATCCATATGCACCTTCAAAACCTCGGTCTTGAATTCAATTCATACCGATGTGTTTTGTCACTATCATCTGTTCAACGACCGATTAACACTAGTATTCTTCCTTGCGTTCTTATGTTGATCAAGGCTGGCGCCACAAAAACGGAAATAATAATAAAAAAAAACAAGCAACTGAAATAAACTTATCTCGTTTTCGTTACGTGTGCGTACAATACAGGGGTCCAGTCCAACATCACCGTCCAATATTTTCGATATTCAATTTTTCCTGCCCACTTTTTTACATGAACTTTTAGGAGCGTGCTTTGTTAGAAGCGAAATCCCTAGTGCACGTTTCTGGCAGTTTCGTGTTATTTTAAAATAGCTTAGCTTCCTTGTGACGTTGTGTGAAGCCGGATGAATTTAATACGCCTCTATATACATTCCGACATACAACAATGATTAACTCGTTCGGGAATGTCAAATATTTGCCGATAATTCCATCATTCTCGACTTTATAATGCCATGCCATACCTTGTGCGGCCTGAATAGAAGTGTTATCAATAAACGGCTGATATTCGGTCGTGAAGAATATTATTCTAAGTTAAACTGAGCGAGCCTTTCTCGCAGTCAGACTCGAGACTCGAGACTCAGGTCAGCTTACCGCACATTATTTGGTCTGAAAGGTAAATAATTCGTTGAACTGCACAGTGGAAAGGCGAAATCGAACTTAAACATCTGAAGAATGGGAAACTGTCACATGGCAAGCGATAGAGAGGCTGTCGTTGTGTCAGGTAAAGTTTTGTTTTATTGTGTTGATCTGAATTCGTTAACAAATATTTTCCGATTTTGAAATTTATAATTGAACACTGGTATGTATATTTTAGGGTTCACTCGAAGCTAATGATTGAAATGATGCTTCTCTCTACCAACTAACTGAAAGATGCAGATTGACGTGTTTAATAATAGCGAATTAAAGAAGATAGATAGTTCGTATTATAGCATCAACACTGAAAATTCGTCTCCCAAGCCCCGTAGTCCGCAGTACTTTAGTATTGAATATTATATATTTTTTTCCCTTTGGGTTATTATTGTTTGTTTTTATTGGCAACTGTTTATCGATTTAGCAGGGCCTTCCACAGTAGCAGAAAACACTGTTTAGAGTAAACACGGTTTGAAGCAGACTAGAATTTAAGATGTCCGTCCTGTTGGTTTCAAAATACGAGAGACGTTTTGTGATCACTACATGTGGTATGCATTGAACTTCCAACAGTGTCTTGAATCAGATTGTCAGCGATCACAAAATTGAGCTGGTTTTCGATGAGAATTCTTACACCCCATATTTTACCATTTCTTCCATTCAGAAGGCTTAATTTATTTGCGATCTGATAAATATTTAAATGCCATTAATCGCGCACACTATGTGATATCATAACTGTATACCTGAAAGATCAATACATGCACATCTTGTCACAGGGGGATGTTGTATTCCCAGGACTCAGAAGTATAAGGCCGTGGCAGGAAACTGGAAATGTTTGTGGGCCTGGGCAGGACTGAGTAAAGTTGACAGGTATGGTAAAAATTTTCAAATTACGTAGTAATAAATGATTTAATGATTACGTTGGAAATTGGGTCACAAAAGCCAGTATCAAGAGATATTTGAGTCCGTTCTCGAGATTCCTTAGTCTGTTTTGATTTTATATTTACAAATCCGTGTTGACCGTGATCCGACTATTTTAGACACAAACATATTCTGGCATTTTAAGCATGTTTTTCTAGACGCGTGCCCGAGAAAAACACCTCCATTTGGAATGAGGATACGTGAAACTGGAATATTTGGTTACATGCCACAGACATCACGAATTAGACGAAAGTTTATTATAATTTGCGAACTTTTGTCATTTATTTCCAGAAAAAGGACTTGCCTGTGGACTCCTGGCTTCTTTTATCGCTCAGTGATCTCTACGGCAATACAGTTCCTCTTCCTTAAAAAGGAGTTGGTCATCACAGGCTATTATCAGTCAATGGCGAATTAATGTCGGCCTGAAAAATGTTAACGTAGAATCATCACGTTGTTTTATCACGATATCGGGTCTCTCTTGAGTCTGGAAACTATCGTTCATATTTGGTACCGAAGCAAAATGCAGTGTAAAACGAAGACTGCGGACTGCGGACTGCAGAACGGGGTTAAAATGCAGACTAAGGGTAAAATACAGACTGGAGACCAGGGGTAAAATGCAGGACTACAGTCTACAGACGTTTTTAACAACTTTTTTTAACGTTCAGCCTGAATATCACTCAGGTTCACTCGAGGCTAACGCTTCGATTAGCCTGTTTACGGTTTGCTCTTAGTTGATGGAAACAGCAACACGACGGAGTTAAAAAGTCTGCAGCCGTCTGAATTTTACCCCTAGTCTGCAGTCTTCATTTTATCGTCAGTCTGCAGTCCGCAGTCTGCGTTCTACACTGACCACTCTGAAGCACACAACAAAGAACTTTGTCAGGTTTCATAACAATTTCCCTCTATTAACTGTGGTTTCACCACTAACAAAATAATTTCCTCTGGCTCAGCTTGCAACTGAGTATAGTCGACTGTGATAACCTCTGAAGTCGAATTCTCCTTATTAGTATTTCGAAGGAACCTATTTTGAATGGTATTTCGCACGGTAAGTTTAGGTGCTCCCCTTTCAAAATGCCACGGCAATTTTTGCCACATGCAAAATCATGATACTTACTGAACCTCTTAAATCTAACAGTAGCCTGTTCCAGGCTCTCGGTCAGGGGGACGATCGAAAAAAAGCGCGGGCGACGAGTGTGGTCTGGTGTCCCGCTCGTCACTGATCCCGCTCTTCGCTGATCCCGCTCGTCGCCCGTCCACTTTTACGATCGTCCCCACTGATCGAAAGCCTGGAACAGACTAATTATAATCTAACCGCAAAATTTCCACAGGTTAACTCTGGACGTGTTAACATTCAAAAAGGTTTTCAAGAGTGTGAAAACGGCGCGAGGCAGGCATGTTTCAGTGTCAGTTATAACCGAGGTACAAGTCATGCAGGATCTGCAGCACTTTGCACGAGCTAGCGATTACTTCCTGGGAAAGACAACCGACGAAATAGCAGAAGTTATCCTTCATGTTCTGGAAGCACACGTGCGTGACATCTATGAGCATGTAGCTTTGAAATACATCGAAGAAGGTGATAAATTTTCTGTACCTGTCAAAAGTATAACCAGAAGTCTTAAACTCAGACTAATCACGTGGATTATCAGTGATAACCCACGTTGTTTCCCGCGGAACGGTCCCAGAAATCCTTGTTCCAAAAGCTAGAGTTTGTAATCAGTGTTGTGTTCTCACGCAGTTTCCGGACGTGAAAAATACAGGGTGGAAACTGCTGTTACGGACTTCAGTTGTCTTGGGAAACATCGAGGTTCTCAGGAAAGCAAAACTAACTCGAGACCGGTAATTAAGTGTATGATATTGGCTTGTTTTGAGGTATGTGAAAGTTAAACCTTTTCTCTTGGCTTTATTCCAGATTCAAACCACTTTTCAGGAAGAATACAAAAGGCGGCCACTCCTGACGTGTGGGACCTGGGAGTGTTGATTCATAACTTGTTCATCACAGACGTGACTCGAGAGGAAATGTAGTGCTTATTCTAATGGCTGATGAACACAAGGACGTTTTCATTGGTTCGTACATGCAGTATCAAGATGAAGCCTGACTCTTGACGAGTCCGCTGGTTACGTGTATGCCATTTGTTGCGTGACCGCGTTAACGAGCACCTGATAACGCTACACGAATTCTAGTTAGAACTTTAAAACCTGAGAGTAAACGTTTCCATTCTCCCAAACTGCTAACACATTATTTCGTATAAGACAGAGTTGTTCAATAACTCGCGTCTCCCTGTTGCATTTCCAAGACAGCAACTCTTGGTAGCTCAGTACCCGTATATAATTGGGAACCTACTGTTCCTTAATGAAGCTATACCGGCACACGTTTCTTTAACATGATGACTAGACTAAACGCATTTCGTCCGTCCACGTTTTTTCTTTGCCTGTATACAACCACCCACTTTTCCTAGAGAAACTGGCGGAGGCGCGTACACCTCCCCTCTCCCCATCCCCTCCCCCCAATCACCGATATTCTTCAGGAGAGTGAGATACTGAACACGGGCTACCTGTTTTGTTTCTTGTTAGGTTTTTTGAGCTGTGAATATATTGTCATTCCTGACCCTAACTCTTTGTTAGCCGGGCATGTATACATGTATATACGCTTTCAGTCTCGAGTTATAAAAAATAGCTTTTCGTTTAAGAGAATATTTAATAAGAGTATAAATTATAAATAAACGCCAATTGTACTGCAAGAATCCATACGTACTAGCTAGGAAATACTCTACAGAAAGCATAACCATGTAGACTGTACCATCTAACGATTATATTTGAGTTCGCTTAAATACAAAAGATTTTAAAATCAATTAAAAAGTAGAAAAAAATATGCGTTGTCTGTACTCAAAATAGTTAATCGAGAGTTTCTTTCGCTTACAGGACCCTCACAGTGACGTGTAAACTTAGTTTAAAATTCCTCCTATTTCCTCCCAATCGATTGTCTATGAGTTTCTGACGTGGTACGAATTTAATTTTACATTGCATTGCCTTCTTACTTTTTCCTTTATATCTAAGCACTATTGCCCGAGCGTGAAAATCTCAGTAGTTTCGGACGCTGAAATCCTGTTCAGCACAATATTCTTTTTTGCAATAACTGCGGAAATTCTCGCGCGCTCATTGGCTAATTTTCATTGTCGATAAGCCGGCAGACGCATGAATTGCGATGTTGACGCAACGAACGACAGCGGACAAGTTGACAATTTGTTATTGTAAAAATCAAATTGACGTCAGTTTCTTATGCGTCTGTCCTGTTATTGACAATGAATTTCATCATAACATTGTCAAAGATGTCTGCGGAGCTGTTATTGCAGTTGAGTCTGCCCTCAAATATTCTTTTGTTTTAAAAGGCATTCAAACGAAGCGAAAGGGTCATTATAATGCAGAATTGACCCTGTCGCCTCGTTTGAGTGTCAAGCCTCTGATAACTGCAACAACAGCTATTCTGACAATTTTATGACAAAATTCATGATCAGTAACAGGACAGACGCATGAAAAACTGACGTCAACCCCTCTACACTCAACTTTGTTCCCATGGCTTTTTTCCTTTCCCGTCCGCCATGGGGATGAGGTTGGTCCACTTGATTGTTGCCTACAAACTATATATAACTTGGACAACCTGTTGAAAACTTACCTAATTTTCTTGTTTCATACGGTATCTTGCTAGAACATATGGTGTGAGTGCAACTGAAGCGTGCAAAATTGTCTTTACTGAAATTCTAGCCAGTAAGCGCTGGCGAGAAAATGGAGCTTGTAACCGAGTGCGTCACAGAATAATTACGTGTATATAAATGCCCATGTGACCGCTGACTAACGGGCTCAATTGTATTTGAAGACCTTCGAGCAATCAAAACGACAGTCAGACATAACATGTGGAAAAGGGATCGAAAATCGAAAGAACTATCGGATTATTGAGAGAAAAGTGAATGCTAACGATAGAATGATACTCTTTCTCGGAAACTGAATAGCCAGAAACGCTGTTATCAAGATGGGAGAACCAAAAAGGTTGGTCGAACTTTATAAACTCTAAACTTGAGCTCTATAAAAATTATATGGTTGAGCTGTAAATTACGTGGTTGTTCCATAGTAATTGCTTGTTGCAATTGTTCGATGTAAACAGAATTGCAATAGGTTTTATGTTGTATTACAAAATTTTGAAAGGTAAAGGTAGCTGGTGCTCTGAATACAACATTTATATCGATCACTTCCATCTGCCTCGAGTCTGTACAGTATTCTACTGTGTTTCGTTAACTCCGCTGTACATGTTACATGTAGGTATGGACTTATCATTCCAAATAAAAAGGCAGCAAACAAACCAGTGAAGAAACTGGCGGTCTTTGGTAATGATTCCAGTGATGATGAGGTAATTTTATTTCAATAATAAAATAGTAAAAGAATAATTAAACAAGGAGTACTGTTTTTTGCCTTAAATATTTATTCTTATTGTGTACAAACAGTGTAAGATCTTATCAAAAGGACGATGATTATAGATGTAAATATGTCATAATAGTCCTTATCATGGCCGACAGTGAGCCAACACTTAAGTCTGAAACATAACAAAAACTGTCAGCTGACTGTAGGCAGTTTGTAACTTAACATTTTTCAACCAACAGATGGTCGACATTTGACAGACCGATAGCCAACTGTCAGCCAACAGTTGGCCAAAAGTTGACCAACAGTCGGCTGACAGACGACCAACAAGATTTTTTGGGAACTGTTCTTCACTTTAAACAGGTAATTTAAGGTCTATTCATTATAATAGTTATGGTGTGGTTCAATTTATTCAGGAAACTGCTCACAAAGAAGTGAATTTATCCCTCATCCAAGAAGCACAAAAGAAGAGGCAAATGAAACAGGTACGTGTAACTCTTTTGTTTTGGTTGCACTCTCAAAATATCATGTCTCCACGTGTATCCTTACATTTCTTTAAATGTTAGTCTGGAGAATCTGGGGTTATATCAAGATCATTTCTCCTGGATGATGACTTTTTTTTCTTGTTGCATGTTTTGTAGATAATGAATCATTATTTCAAGGTACTAGTAGTACATGTATGAAAAGAAAGCAGGGCTTGGCCTCGAAAAAAATGTCCATAGCAACAAGTATCCCAGTCCTTATTTATTATTCACACACCAAGCAAAATTTGGAACTCTCCTGACTCAAAAGCATCTTTGTTATACTTTCTATACAGACACAGATTGAAATTCAGAAAGCATTGAAGGATGACCCAACAGTCTATGAGTATGATGCTGTGTATGATGAAATGGAAGAGAAAAAGAAAGCTGTGAATGTAAAAGTTCCAGAGAAGGACAGAAAGGTATGTGTACAGTTATTGTAACAAGAGAAAGAAATGACCAATTCCCTCCACGAGATGTGCTTGTAGGTAATTGTATTCATTAGAACAAATATCCAGTCCAATGTAGTGAATACAACTACCATGATTCAGGGATTTCCTTAATTTTTTCCGCAGGAGGGCAACTGGTTTTCACAGGGAGGCAAAACTTTTTGAACTGAAATTCTCTATAAGAAAAACATTCCTCTAGATGATCAAACCAGGTGGGCAAAATCATCCTCACAGCCAGTCAATTTGCCGGTGCCCAACCCTTAATGAAACTCCTGATGACTCCTTGCAGGCATGTATCATGGAGGGAATTGGCCATTAGGTAGCTTTTAGTATTTGTTGATGCCATTATTACATGAAGAGCACAAACTATATTTTAGAATTGGTTTATTGCTTGGTAAGAGACTGTACACAATTTTGCTAAGTCATCGGATTTGAAAATATCCAGATTTGCTGTCCACAAGTTATCGGATTCGTTGTGGATTTATTTTTTCCACTCTGGAGAGCAGATTGAAAAATATCCAGATTCTCTGCTGAATTTGCCAGATAGGTGTGGACAGAAGCCGTATCCAGAAAGAAAAAGTTGCGGATTCAAAAATATCCAGTTACGTGAGGACGGGGCCTTACAAATCATGAAGTTGGAAAATTAACCCAGCAGGGATGGTTCACAAGAAGAAGGGAAGGTCATGGTGCAGTAGTGAGAGCAGTTTTTTTATTTTAGTTTGTTAATAGTGGTACTAGTAAGAGCATTTGCCTCCTACTAATGTGAGTAGGTTCAAATCTTTGACCCAGCATTGTATAAACTGAATTTGCAGGTCCTCATCCTTGCTCATTCTTGCTCTTAGAATAGTTCTCCAGTTTTCCTCCCTTCAAACCAACAACATCTAAATTTCAATTTGATCTGAAAACTGATGATTAAATAATATTCACTAGATGGATGTGTCTTTTTTAATAGTAAATACCCTTTTGTATTTTAATTGTTGTTGGTTTTTTTTAATTTAAATTTTTAACCTGCTTTTGGCAAATGAATATAATTTTACTTTAGCCTGACAAAATGAATCATTCTCAACTCCAAAATAAACTCAGTTTGTTACATGTACCCTGAGCACTACACAGACAAGCAAATCTGATGACCCTGGGCACTAATTAATATTGAAAGATGGAAGCTTGTCATAAAGTGCACCTATTGAGGATGAGGTGCCAACACATTTAAAGCAGGCAAACAGCAAGCTCAAAGCTTACCTGTCACATTATTTTGGGTGTGTCTATGTGGCGAAAGAGTAGCCCTCCATTCTCAGCCACCTTGGGACTTTTCCTGCTTTCTATTTAAAAAGCGGTGAACTGTTCATGAGAGATGATAAAGTTTGCATAGAAGGGTTGAAGGTTACTCACTGTGAAGGTAGAAAGACCCGAAAGGGCAAGCCACCGTTTTACCTTGATGAAAGATAGATAAGTTTGAGTCACCTACTTTGCACTACTAGTTTCCCTTCTCCTTTCCTTTTGAACGTCTGTCACACGCCTGCACACACCTGCCACACAGCCTGAATTAAGACAGGTCAGGGCGTACAGAGCCTGTGGGATCCCTTGATGGCATGATTTAAACGGGACAACTTTTCCTATGTAAATGTGTAGTAAAACTGAGGTGGGTCCAGAAAAACTGGCCCTAAATCTTCACTGGTACTTTTTGTTTGCCTTGTTTTTGAAACTTAGCCTAAGTACATTGCGGGCCTGTTGAAGTCAGCAGCTGCTAGGAAGAGGGACTATGAACGGACTGTAGAGCGGCAAGTACAGAAGGAGAGAGAAAAAGAGCAAGGAGAGTTTGATGATAAAGAAGCTTTTGTTACAGAGGCGTATCCTTTCAAATTTATATTTACTTCTAAAATTTACACTATGAGTAGTCCCTATTTCGCTCAGCTCGTCGTGTGTGACGCGAAAGAAACTCTCACACTTGACGGACTAAGTGAAAGAGGGACTATTCGCAGTCTAGTTAAAATTTGATTTAACACCCTCCCTTCAATAAGCGCCTCCTTCCTAATCAGTGCCCCCTTTTCAACATGTTTGTATTAATAAGCGCCTCTATTCCAATCAGCGTGCCCCATACCAGCTCATACCAATACACGTCCCCATTTACGTCAGCCTGTCCCTCCCTACTCAATGATCGTGCCTCCAGAGTTAATTGAGTTCATGTATCCGTGGTTTATTTCCCTTTTAAACAGCTCCAAGCATACCCGCATTACAAAACAACTATTCTTCTTATAGCTTTCTTATTGTCTCGACTATTATTTCCGTGTGAAAAAACGAAAGAATCGCCCCGTACCTACCAGGCACCCTACCTTAAGCACTCAGAATTTCATAAGTGCCCCGGGCGGTACTTGGGAATTGCAGCTTGAAGCTGCCCAGATTCGAGCCCTGGCTGGGGCCATTTTGTTGTGTTCTTCAGCAATACACACAAACTCGTAGGGCCTCTCTCCAACTGAAACTACAAAGTGCTACCGGCAAATTGTTTGGGGAACCTCGCAAACTAGAGGAGGGAACCTGGTGATGGACTTGTAACCGGATTCAGGATATAGGGACCATGATATTGAATTGTACAGTCTGGTAACCAAAGGTTGGTTTCCGCTTACGAAAGGTTGTCTGTGAGAGTGTTTCTTAACTGAAATTAAATCAGATTCCGCAGGAAAATGCAAGAACAAGCAGAGGAGGAAGAGAGACTCAAACGTCAAGATGCCATTGACGGTAAATATTTTTTTATGTTTTCTATCCTTCGCAGCTTTTAGTGAGCGCTTCAAGCGTCACATAGCGTTGCGTAACGAGAAATGTTGCATGACGACCCACATAAGTCCTGTGAATGTATGAAGGATAGGCCTGTCTTTTTTGAGGCAGGGTTTTGCAATTTCCAAACAAAAAAATACTGCACAGCAAAAACTGCTGAAAAAAAATCGTGCAAGCGAAGCCATGGAGAACAAAAATCTAGCAAGTGTTTTCTACTATCCAGCTGAGACCAGTTTCTCGAAGGTCCCGAAAATTTTTCGCACCCGAAAAGCCGTAGCAAAATCTCAATCCTTATGATTACAGAGCTGTGTTATGCATATATTCTTAATATGAACAGAGGTTCTCTTCAAACAAGACGTTTCAGGCGTATACACCTCTCTGTCTTTAAATGTCGATTAACTAAAAATGGCTTTGCGAGCCCGAAAAGTTTCCGGGGCTTTCGAGGTCCTTTTTTGATGTTAAAAAATTCTTGCATAAGCAATTGCCCATCAAAGAAAATTTTGCACAACCTAAAAGTGCGAAAAAAATTCCATGCCCCAGAAAAGTCCTCAATCAACCCCTCTTCTCCCCTCTCTCCTGTCAAAAAAATTTTGATGCGTCCCTAAGAATCGTTTTCTGACTGGGTCAACACGTAAAGCCTCTAGCCTCACGTAGCGTTGCGTGACGGCCAACGTAAACACTGCGAAGGTGTTGATAACCTCGAGATTTATTGAGCGGTTTTCTTTTTCAGCTGCCAATGACGTGACGAAGCAAAAGGACTTGAGTTTGTTTTATCGAAACCTTCTGGATCGAAACGTATCTTTGGGCGGCTCATTCACCGGCGAGGATGCAACGAAGAAAGATTTGCAAAACAAGGAAAGACACGGTAGATCCGAACAAGAGGATAAGAAGTCATCTCAAGAAAACCTGGACGAAAGAAAACACGAAGAATATA